AAAATCTACGTCCATTTACAAGTAAAATACGGAAAAAATGGATTTATTTTTTTACAAAATTTCCTTCTAGATACTATCTTTTGATCATAAACAAGCTTCTGTCCAAGTTTGATACAAATCGGAAATAGTATAAGAAAGTTATTAAAATTTTAAAAGCTTTAACCACAGAGTGAATGTGTTGTTTCCTGGCAGAAAATCTAAGTCCATTTAAAAGAAAAATAAGGAAAAAATGGATTTATTTTTTTACAAAATTTCCTTCTAGATACTATCTTATGATCATAAACAAGCTTCTGTCCAAGTTTGGTACAAATCCAGGATAGTTTAAGAAAGTTATTAAAATTTTAAAAACTTTAACCACAGAGTGAATGTAATATTTCCCGGCAGAAAAACTAAGTCCATTTATAAGTAAAATACGGAAAAAATAGAATTTTATTTTTACAAAATTTACTTCTGGATACTATCTTATGATCATAAACAAGCTTCTGTCCAAGTTTGGTAGAAATCCAGGATAGTTTAAGAAAGTTATTAAAATTTCAAAAACTTTAACCACAGAGTGAATATTTGTGGACGCCGCCGACGACGACGACGACGACGACGACGACGCCGACGGAATGTAGGATCGCTATGTCTCGCTTTTTCGACTAAAGTCGAAGGCTCGACAAAAATGGTAGAAATTCTGAAATTTAGAAAAATTAAGTTACAGAACGGAAACTAAAAATTTTGCAATTTTTCGATGTATAAAGTGGCATAACTCGATAATGATTAAAGTGACGCCACCAAAATTCAACTTGATCTGTGTTTTGTGGTAAAACGCATTGTGTATAAGTTTCATAACATTTGGTTGAGGCAACTTAAGTTAGAAAACGGAAACTAAAAATTTTGCATTTTTTTCAATTTATAAAGGGGCATAACTCGAGAATGATTAAAGTGAACCCACCTAAATTCAAACTTGATCTTTATTTTGTGGTAATAAGCATTGTGTATAAGTTTCATAACATTTGGTTGAGGCAAACTTCAGTTAGAGAACGGAAACTAAAATTTTGCAATTTTTCCATTTATAAAGAGTCATAACTCTAGAACAGTTAAAGTGACACCACCAAAATTCAAACTTGATCTGTGTTTTGTGGTAATAAGCATTGTGTATAAGTTTCATAATATTTGGTTGAGGCAAACTTAAGTTAGAGAAAAAAAACTAAAAATTTTGTAATTTTTCCATTTATAAAGGGGCATAACTCTAGAACAGTTAGAGTGACACTACCAAAATTCAATCTTGATCTGTGTTTTGTGGTAATAAGCATTGTGTATAAGTATCATAACATTTGGTTGAGGGAAACTCAAGTTAGAGAACGGAAACCAATTTTGGGACGTACGTACAGACGGACAAGGGTAAAACTTATGCCCCCTCCAATACTGCGGGGAACAAAAAATAACATTTTAAATAACAATCTTTACATTAAACGTATCAAAAACAGAATTTAATATTGGTAAAACACTTTCACTGACCTAAATGGAAAATTAATATTTAAATATGTTTTCCAAAAGGTTTCATACTTTTATATTAAAGATGACACAATTTTGTCAGTTATGTAGTCCAGAGTTGGGTTTGTGCATACATTTTTTTATTAAGCCTCAAATCTGTGTCCCTTTCAACAATGCCATATTTGCCGACTCCAAAACGCCATCAATGAATAATTTTTGTTGTCAAAGACATTAGTACTACTTAAATTCAAAAGAAATCAATATAAGGCCATCAAAAAGTCAATGCATGTTGAACTATGTATTTAGGAACCAAGTTTCTCGCAATAATAAAATTATTAAACAAAACTTATACTAACTTCCCATCTTTCAGTCAGTATAAAAAGCCGTATTATCAAGTTAAAATTTTTAAATCGAAGAAAAGTAGTGAAAACAAGAGTGTGAAAATGTGTTTTTCTCTCAATACAGACATTTTAACCATAATTGCTCTTTTGGTGTAAAAAAAAAAGTAAAGAAGACTTGAATTACAAACTAAACTCGAGTACTTTTGAGTCTTCTTGTTAGTTGAGTTTTGAACTTTGTGTCGATCTGATGAGCCAAGCCCTTTCCAACTGATTTTTAGTTTGTTCTCATGCTGTATTGTTACACATATCCCATATCATGTGGGGAAGGTCGAGCGCTTAAACCTGACTGCATAAATTTCTATGTGCCGGTCAAAAGTCTTGTCACATTACTGAAAGTCTACTTTACTTAAGAGGACACGGATTTCAATACATAGATGGCCACATTTCAGGTTCACTACGTCATGCGACACAGAACTGTGAAAAGGTCAGATTTGATGCTTGACATAAGGCCACATATTTGAGTGTCAAAACGTCATGGTACACAGATTCCAGAAAGGACACAGAATTGAGGCTGCACGTCATAGATTTGACTCTTACATATATAATATATGCTCATAAATATCACAAATTTAGCACAGTAGAATGATTTCTTCAAACTTAATATAAAATAAGGAAATGTGGGGTAATTCCCAATGGGACATTTGTAACTATCCAATAGTACATATTACTTGGATTTAAGTAATTGTCACTGTACAGCAAAACACATGCATGTCCCATATAGTCAGCTTTAAAAGGCCCGACATGAAAAATGTAAAACAACTCAAGCAAAAAATAAAATGCTTCGCTGAGCGCAGCCTGATACGACAGCAGAGGTCGAACCCTGAACAGTTGGGACAAATTTGGACACAATATTCAAGCTTGATACTGTCTGAATTTGGATTGTGATAAAATTTTTGACATTATATAGGTTTCTGACACAACATAAATGTGGTCAAAGATCTTTCAAATCTATTGCGCAATACTGTGCAATGGAAGATTTCTTCTTGAAAATTTTCAAAAGTTCGAAATATGAAAAATTTTGAAAAAAAAATATGAATCCCCTAAAAAAATTGGGAGAAAAATCCTCCACCCCCCCCCCCCCCCCCCAACTTTTTGAAACCCTCCTTGGAACAATAACCCCATTACTCAATCCCAGCCTTTCCTTTGTAGTATGGAACCTTGTAGTACAATTTTAGAGAGATCCATACACTTAAACACAAGTTATTGTCTGGAAACTAGAAAATGCTTGTTTTTGGCCCTTTTTGGTCCCTAATTCCTACATGTTTTGGGCAATTAACCCCAAACTCAATCCCAGACTTTCTTTTGTGGTATGGAACCTTGTGTTACAATGTCAGAGAGATCCATACACTTACACACAAGTTATTGTCTGGAAACTAGAAAAATGCGTTTTTGGCCCCTTTTTGGAACTTAATTCCTAAACTGTTGGCCCCATAACCCCTTAGCTGAATCCCAACCTTCTACTTGTGGTATTAAACATTGTGGTACAATTTCAGAGCAATCGAAATACTTATACACAAGTTATTATCCTGAAACTAGAAAAATACTTGTTTTGGGCCCTAATTCCTAAACGGTTGGGACCATCATCCCCAAAATCAATCCCAACCTTCCTTTTGTGGTATTGAACCTTCTTGAAAAATTTCATAGAGATCCATTTACTTAAACTAAAGTTATTGTCCAGAAACCAACGTGTCTTCGGACGACGATGCAGATGACGACATCATACTATTATACGATCCCAAAAATTTTTTTGGCGGTCGTATAAAAACCAACTGCCTGATTTATGACAAAACAATAAATGAAATAAATGTGGATAGTGTCCACATGTGGACACAGATGATGCCCCCGCTTGCATATCATATAGTTATAAAGGGACATAACTGAAGAACAGTAAAAGTGACGTTATCCAAATTTAAACTTGATCTGAGTTTTGTGTGTAAGTCTCATAACATTTGGTTGAGGCTAACTTAAGTAGAGAACAGAAACTAAAAATTCAGCAACTTTTCTATTTATAAAGGGGATTAACTCAATAATGGTTAAAGTGACACTACCCAAATTCAACTTGATCTGTGTTTTATCAGTGGAAGTCAAAATTAAACATTGCATTGTATAAAGCATTGATTGTAGTTGATTTAACTATAATCATGGACAAAGGAAGATAACTCCAATTTTAAAAATAACTTGATATTTAGAAAATAAAAATTTTGCAATTTTTTCCATTTATAAAGGGGCATAACTCTAGAACAATTAAAGTGACGCCACCAAAATTCAAACTTGATCTGTGTTTTGTGGTAATAAGCATTGTGTATAAGTTTCATAACATTTGGTTGAGGCAAACTTAAGTTAAGAGAACGGAAACTAAAAATTTTGCAATTTATCCATTTATAAAGGGGCATAACTCTAGAACGGTTAAAGTGACGCCACCAAAATTCAAACTTGATCTGTGTTTTGTGGTAATAAGCATTGTGTATAAGTTTCATAACATTTGGTTGAGGCAAACTCAAGTTAGAGAACGGAAACCAATTTTGGGACGTACGGACAGACGTACGTACAGACGGACAAGGGTAAAACTTAATGCCCCCACCGCTACGGCGGGGGCATAAAAATAAATGTGGAACGTGTCAATGGGAGACAGATGTCAGATGCCCCCGCTTGCATATCATATTAAGATTTAAAGGGACATAACTGAAGAACTGTAAAAGTGACGCTACCCAAATTTGTACTTGATCGGAGTTGTATGGTAATAAGCATTGTGTATAAGTTTCACAACATTTTGTTGAGGCAAACTAAAGTTAGAGAACGGAAACCAACTTTGGGACGTACGGACAAGGGTAAAACTTAATGCCCCCTCTACTAAGGCGGGGGCATAAAAACAGATATAACAGACGACAACAAACAACCACTGAATTAAAGGTTCCCAACTTCAGATTGGCACATAATGTGACTGGATTAAACATGTTTGTTAGAGGTCAACCCTCCTCTAACCTGGGACAATTGTGTAACAGCACGACATAAGAACAAAGTTATGCCACAATATTTTCAGTCTGCTATCTGGGGATGTCTGTTACAGCAACTGACATCATGTTAACCCCTGTGATGTAAGAGATCAAACAAACACATAAATCTACATCAAATATTTTATATACAATGTAAAACATGACAATGTCACATGATCATGAAGAATGTTATGATTTTATGATAAATACCAAACTACACTGTTTTGGATATCAACAACATTTACAAGATTTAAAAAATACTCATTCATTGTCACAATTGTTCAGTTTGATTTCACATAATGTCAATGAAAAAAAAGAATGTTAATGTCTCCTCTGGAATCCTCCTCCTCCTCGTCCACCACCACCACGACCTCTGGCTCCTCTGGCAGCTGAAATAAACAAAATTGACAATTCAGTTTTGCTATAATTTATACACGTAGGTCCACAGTACAAATGTATATTAAAATGGTTTAAAAAGTTTTCTGTGAATGAAACATTAATGTCATTTTTATGATACAATAGATGTGTAGGCAGCTAATTTGCTAACTAAGACTACAATGTAAAAAGCATTCTGAGAGTTTTGCATCACATAGATGTGTAGGCAGCTAAATTGCAAAATTAGACTAACAAGCATTCTGAGAGTATTGCATCGCAATACATAGTCCCCTACCAGTTCAAAATTCATTGTACTGGAACAAAATGCTAACTTGATCTATAACTTGTCATGGTGTAAACTATATTACATATGTCAAGTAAATATATTCAAGCATGACGAAAAAAAGTGGAAAACTGATTATTTGAGTGAATTCATAAAGTCCAAGGACATTAACTGTGCACAAAATCATCAGACCAAAACAAAATTCGAACTTGATCTGTAACTTGTCATGATAAAATTATTTACCAAATATCAAATCAATATCTTCAAGCACGAAGTACTGAATTGTGAAACCTAGGCATAATCAGGTTTAATCTGTTGCTGAATTTTAATTCTTGTCAAATTGAGATACAATTTTGAAATGTTTTAAAAAACAATACTTCCATTATGCTAAAATTAAAGTCCAGATCTCCTGGATATATTTATGAAGGTTGGGTGCCATTTGGACTGGAACTCTCAACTAACTTGTTTCTTTTCACTTATTAATTAATGGATATGTACAGTGCATGTGCACTCTGCGCTTTATATTGTACATGTATATGATATCAAATTACATTGTTTAAAAATAAACTGCTTCGCTGAGCGCAGCTAGATACGCCCGCAGAGGTCCAACCCTGAACAGTTGGGACAAAAATGGACACAATATTCAAGCTTGATTCAGGTCCAAATTTGGATTGTAATTAAATATTTGACATATTATAGGTTTCTGAATAAATGTAGTCAAAGATCTTGAAATTGGTTATATGAATTGAATTTATATTCAATTAAAGATTTCTTGCTGTTGTGCAATACTTAGTAAATCTGTTGTCAGACTATAAACAAATAAAGTTCAATTAATTCTCAATGTCATATTAGAAATTTATGAAAATAAAAAGGGAGCTTACATCAATAGATATAAACAATTCACCAAGGTTTCATGAGAATTGGTGACAGAATTTTTGAGTTATTGTCCGAAAACTGGAAAATCACCCCTTTTTTTAATGAATAAAACCCCATAACTCAGAAATGTAAAATGTAAAATTTATAAAATTCTAAAGGGAGCTTACATCAATACATACAAACAATTCCCCAAAGTTTCATTAGAATTGCTGAAAGCATTTTTGAGTTTTTGTCCAAAAACTGGAAAATCCCCCCTTTTTTCATGAATAAAACCCTGCAACTCGGAAACGTAAAATCTAAAATTTATAAAAATTGAAAGGGAGCTCATGTCAATAGATATAAACAATTCACCAAAGTTTTATGCAAATTGGTTAAAGCATTTTTGAGTTAATGTCCGACATGTTGACGACGGACAGACGGACGGACAGAGGTATACCATAATACGTCCCGTAAACGGGCGTATAAAAAAGGATTTCTAGAAGTTATGATGCTGTGCTAACTTACACGATCAGATGTATAATAAATAATTATGAGATAATTTGATCCAGTTTATATGGACTTCATTTTGATTTTCATTCTTTGTTTGAGTGTATGGATATAAATTCAACAATACACAGGTGGTCTTGTGGTAGCATGTTCGCTGCTTTTGTGCTAAATAAACAGCTGAAAGCTGTAAGAGCAAAGACTTGTTGGCTTGAAGTCATAATAATGTTTATGACTTCATTATTATGACTTCAAGCCAACAAGTCTTTGCTCTTACAGCTTTCAGCTGTTTATTTAGCACAAAAGCAGCAAACATGCTACCACAAGACCACCGAGGCGGTTCTTGTTGACATGATTGTTTCCCTTTAAGAATCAGGTAATTTGAAATAAAAAACTTTTTATCACTAAGACTCAAAAATACAATGGCCCAATCTTCATGATTGGTCATGATCACATGCCCACCAGCCAACATATTATGAGGCCTGTAATGATTTTTATACATACCACCAAAATCTATACAAAATTTTCCAAAAAATGAGTGTCTCAGTCTGGCTGCAAAAGTTTAGGTCAAAGACTGCAATGCATACAATAACAAGATCGTCCGACAACTTATGAAAGCACATTTTGACCTTGCTTCCAAATTACTTGCATTTTTATTATATCTTTTTTTTGTTCAAGTTAGAGGTCGCACAGATGTTCATAATCATACTGTGCAGGTTGTTTTTTTTACTGTATGTTTGTTTTAATTTAAGATATTTGTATAAATTTAACATTTTGTTCCTGTTCCAAATCAAGACTACCTCACCTGAATAGTATTTTTTCTTTGTTATTTATGTCAGTTTTATCCCAGAGTTGCCAAGTGATGTGGTTAATTTCAAGGTCTGTATTACCTCCAGTATCTCTGGCCCTATTCCTGGTATGCCCTTGCAAATATTTCTATGACAGAATTTGTGAGTTTTCTAATATACATGTATGCTTGTAAGGGTTTCAGGTCAATAAAACCAAATCTGATTTCTTGAATCCTTAGAAATAGCTTATCAATATTTGCCCTTTTGTTACATTTATCTGATAATTAGCGACACTTGTCACTGGAACTATAGATGCCATACAAGAATACACCTTATCGCTATTTAGTCCATTCTATAAAAGACAATTACTTAGATAACTTCCTGTTTGGGTCAGGTATCGCAAAAACAAAGGTCATTAGTAATGAGCTGAGGGAGGAAAAGTTTAGGAAGTGAATATTTTTATAGTTTATGATCCTAATGATATATACAAAAAAATCATGTAATAAAAAGGCTTTGTTTGAAGTGTTTACGATGGTTTAAACAATTCTCTATGAAAATTTTAATGCACTATACAATGTTTGAACAGGGATCCAGATAGCTTCAACTGGATTGTGATGACAAGAAAAGAATTGTATAATTCCAGAACTTTTCTAGATTGGAATAAATAGTGATAAGGTGTATCTGTTTTCTCTGCGACACCAGAAATTTTCACTTTATCTTGTAGATAACTACAAATTTTATTGGATATTAGAACTGCTGGGATGCAATGCCGCGTAATTTTGGACAATTAGTGAAAATTATGTAAAGTTTATCGATACATGTAGTCCAAATAATTATGATGTCCTGAAAGGCTATTTTAATTTCCGTTGTAGAAAGGCTTCACAGAAAAAAAACCTAAGATAGCCTTTAAAGATGTCACAAGTAGGACTATTTGGACTAGGACACATGCATCTAGCATTTGATTTGGACTAGTATCTAGCAATGAATTCCTTTCAGATCATTACTAGGGGCAGTCTTCAATTCGCAGTGATATGCATGACGGGGTGATCTTATACTAAGTTTTAATTGCTCCAGTGATTTTAGCCATTTTGATGAAAACAGCAATTGGTGCCCTGTATTTTTTTGTTTCAGGGATTTGTCAAGTGATTGAAGCCAATGAAGGGCTTTGGCTTTGATCCACTACTACACTAATCTACAACCGCTAACAAGATGAGAGGTGGGCATTAACTCGATTTGATATGGAATACAGATGTATTATTTGCTTTATACTTCATAGATGCTTTTTTTTTATACCTTGTGCCCTGAGGATTGCAGATTTCCCTCTCCCTGCACCTCCACCAGATCCTCCTTTCACTCGCTTGAACATAGGTGCGTTTTTCAGCATATCCGGCAGAATCATGAATCTGATCTTACTACCACGGAGATAAACATTTTCGAGCTGTGCAACTCTACCATCTCTGTAGGTGCAAGTTATTGCTGTCATCTGGCAATTCATGTTGTCTTCTGCCTCAACTAGCTTGCCTCTGTAAACTTCCCCTGTCGTCGTTTCACAGGTAACAATATGACCTTCTGCTTCATGTAGAACCTTAATTGGCACCCCAATAGACATGATGATGTTTTTGAAATGCCTGGATAAGTGTAAGTTAATTTAAATTGTTGCCAGATCTCACAGATGAAGATGGATTGTACTCAGTGCCGGCGAAAATCAAAACAACAATGGCGGATAACGCGCACCGGTCGTTTCCGTTTCGACTAATCACCAAATATTTGTTAATACGAAACAACGCACCACTAATGGGAATTTTATAACAAATAAAATGTTACAATTATTTAACTATTTTTTACTTACACTTGATTGATATAAATATTGTAAAACTATGATATGCATACAAGTAGTTGTACTGAGCTGCATCAAATAAGGATCATACTTTAGGTGGGCGACAAGATTTTTTAATTTATGTTACTGTTTATTATGACTAAATATACTAATGCTATTCAGTAATATATATGCTAATATAAAAAAAAAATTGTCTCACACCTTTGGATGGAGGACCATAAGTGTTCATAACTGTCACATCAATGCATTTCTAGTTATATAAAAATAAGCAGATGTGGTATGATTGCCAATGAGACAACTCTCCACAGAGACTAAATGACACAGAATTTAACAACTATAGGTCACCGTAAAGCCTTCAACAATGAGTAAAACCCATACCGCATAGTCAGCTATAAAAGACCCTGAAATGACAAATGTAAAACAATTCAAACGAGAAAACTAACGCCTGATTTATGTACAAAATAATGAACGAAAAACAAATATGATATGATGTTTAAATTATAAGAATCTATGAAAAAAATTTTCAAAGATCTTATAAAATTGCTCTTATAAAATTAATAAGAATAAGTTTATGTTTGACAGTTACACTGCTGGAGATAATAAAGCTTTATTAATAATATACAGACATGTCTATAGGACATGCACCACTAAATTTTTCAGAATTTAGAGGATGGTTTAAAGGGGATAGTATAAATATGTTAAACTTTGTTGGTTGTTTTTTTTTTGTTTTTTTTTTGCTTTGTTTTTTATATAATTGTTTTTGTTGTCAACTTAAAAGATAAACTAATCTGAAAAGTTAATGGACAACTGAACACAGATGATGAACATCATGTGATGGCAAAATATGGTAACTGTCAGAGCATGGAGGACAGGCCTTATATCCTTTATGCAACACATATTGCAAATATGTTATTGCTCTTATACACAAGAAACTCAGAATACCATATATAAGTGGTTTAAAACACACCTGTCCACTTCAGTAGCCACTTGGTATAGAACTATTAAATCTGGAGTGCAGGAGGTCACAAGTTTAGATTCATAGTTTGGTCAAACTAAATAGTATATGCTACTTCTCCCACAAGCGCATATCATTAGCAGTAAGAACAAGAGCAGGCATCTAGGATTCAGAATAGTGTATCAGTTTATCAGAGTATAGTGATATGTCTTCCTGCAAACTATTACTTAGTGATTCCACATGCTAGAAATCATTAGAACTCTGGCTGATAGTAACTGTTATTGGCAGCCATACCACATCTTCTTTTATCAACATGTATGTCTTCTTCAAAGCAAAGTATATTCATACCTCATTAATATACTATCATCCTAAATATGATACTTTTGTATGTAATATTTTCTTTCCTTTTATTCATGTTATATTTGCTAGTAAATGTTACCAAGCCAATCAATCAATCAATCCCTCATAAACACTTCTATTCTAATAATTTAATCCATTTTATAAAACTATATACCTAGGAGTATGTAGCATGAATTTCCTTGATGAAATTATTTATTTTGCCATGCAATATTTAAAACATGACGATTTTTTTTAAATACCATCGCCATGTTTTCAAAGTTTTTATTTCATTTAAGTTAACTTATTTCCAAAATTTTATTGAAACATTAGAATATGTTAAATAAGTATAAGATAAAAAATTCTTTTGACACGAACGAAAGGGTTAAAATAACATTATATACAATGTCAAACCCATACCATAAGACAAGTACTTCATTTGTACTGAAATAAAAAAAGAACAATGTTAACTATGTTTAAATAATTTAATATTAAAATCAAATGACTCAATCGTCAAAATCAATGAATAGATTTACAATGACAAAATCCTAAATTTTGTGATATTTTTGGTCACACTTTTACAACCTCTATACTACATACTTTATGTTCATATATCACACACAAGTGTCACACTTTTGGATATAACTATTTTTTGTGACTAGTGCAATTATCACTTGATTTCTCTTTACATATATTTTCTAAAGGTCATCCAACTCACACATATAACTGATAACTCTGCACAACAGAGTAACAATGTAAAATACCAAGTCAGAACTTATTATAGCATTAAGGATTTTCCATAATACAATTGATAAGTAATATCAATGTGTAGATTCACTTATTAGTAAAACTAAGACAAATTGTAAGTTCCAAGGATACAAGTCGTATTTTCACATTCCTTACAATTATTAAGTCTGGAAGGCGTTATATGGTCTTAAAAAGTAATTCTACGCAATACAAAAAAATCCCCCAAAACAGGAGAACTGAAATGATATAAATCTCTTCAATTATTCTTCGATTTTGTCATTACTTTTGCAAATGAGAGAATTACTATTAACCTATTACAGATTCAGATTATTCAATACATAAAATTTAAATGGGATGTTTATTTACAAAGATGATAGCACTATTTATATCTTTATATAAAATCAGTAAAAAAGTAAAAGTTTATATCTGCAAGATAAAAATGATTTTATACATAAATGATCATTATGGCTTTCTAATATATCAACTTCTTAACTTATTTTAACTTCCAGACACAAATAATTTGTCAGGTAATGAGTTCCAGAAACAAATAATTTGTCAGGTAATGAGAGGGTAATTAAAGCTTGGAATGGAAATTTATTGAATATGTTGATATTGTCAAATCAACAATACCTTGATCAAGCTTCACTTAAATTTAATAATTCCGCACCCCCCAAATTCAAATACAAAAAAATATTTTCTGCAGTCTGCATATTTGTGAAGAAAATGTAAAGAAAAGTCTTATTTATTTATTCATTCAAATCTAATGATATATAATATCATATAGACAGCTATTACAATTAATGAACAATAGTAATAAATACTCCTACTACTGACACACAGCCAAGTCGCTATTTCATACCTCAAGGGAGATTTGTAACTTATCCCCCCTCCCAACAATAGATGAGCACTCTACCATACTGCAAAAATACAATGTTTCCTATCTCAAGGAAATTTGATTGATTGATTGTTGTTTGTTTAAAGTACAGTGGCAATTTGGAAATTGGATAAAATGATTGAATAGCACTTGACTCCTTATAAAATAACACCAGATCATAATGCTGCATCAAAACAATATACATGTATAACAGATATTGCATACATAAAATAACACAATACAAGAAGTGGAAAAATGAACATAATATCAAGAAGTCAAACGTAATTTACATCAGTTACAAGATTAGCATTTGTACACAATGAGAGGGAAACGATGCTGACTTGTATGTTAACTAAACAAGTGCAGTGACGGTAGATCTTAAATATGAGACACTTGTATAACCATGTACAGAATTAAAAAAAAAAAAAAAAAAAAATATGTAAACAATGAATATTCATTTGAAAATATTTAAGGGGACTTTGGCATCGAGTTGCATGCTAAATAGCTTCTTCATAATTCTGCTGTACCATTCATTTAAGAACATCTAGTATGAAATAGTCTTTACTGAGTAAAAACTATGAATGGCTCCAACAGTATAAATCCGTTCAATAAATTACTCTCAATATCATTTTGGTACTTGATTATTGTACAAAACCTACTTAAATAAATCAGGACTTTGTACATTTATGACTTGTCAACTTCACATGTAGGAAGATGGTTATATGGGTGCCACATAGTGGAGGGCTACAAAAAATTGTAAATGCCAAATAACTGAAAAAAGCACATTGATGTTGTTTATGTATTTTATCTGTGGCCTTATGCAAGTGCATTCCACTGTAAAGTGAAATCCTGTTACTATAAACAACAATAATTTGCCACCATGAGAGGATAGTAGAAGGGATTAATTTCCACAATTGCATGACAGAAATTTCTAATGAACCACATTAAGAAGTTGATATCATATTTATATGTATAACACACTTTAGAATAATTGAATTTACATCCTGTCAAACAAGACTCATAGTTTAATGCAATTATTCAAAATATATTGTATATTGAAACAGAAGGATAGTGTGTGACATTTCCAGGATTGTATGTTTAAAAGAATTATTATTTTTAGTGTTGTACATTTTTCTTCTATCAAGAATGCAATGTCTAACACAGTAAATTGCCATCCATCTTACTCAAAAGGAAAGCCCTGATGTACTTATTTTTTTCTTATTGCTTTGATGGTATTGATGAATTGCTATATACATAAAAAAAAAAAAAAAAACACTACATATATTTAAATGTACATTGTCTGTAAACTGAAATTAAGTTTTAAAGTACAATTTTCTATAGATACAATTTATAACTCAAAAAAAAAAACTATGTTTACTTGCAATATAATTCACTGCTCTTGATTTCTTTTGAAAATGTTGTGTATGAAAAACTGAAGTGTAAAAACCTCTGATTAATGAGTATGATAATGTCCTAAAATTCCTCATGTAACAGAATGGTATACCCCTGTTATATCTACGACCCTTAAAAACAAATTGATCCAGTTTAGTTGTTCCCATATCTCTGTCATTAATATTCTTTACAAGAAATAATCTGGCTGTGGTTTCTTACTTGGTATTCCCCTAGATTCCTACAAATACAAAATACTTTATTATGAGGTATTCCCCTAGATTCCTATAAATACAAAATACTTTATTATGAGGTATTCCCCTAGATTCCTATAAATACAAAATACTTTATTATGAGGTATTCCCCTAGATTCCTATAAATACAAAATACTTTATTATGAGGTATTCCCCTAGATTCCTATAAATACAAAATACTTTATTTATATGAGGTATTCCACTAGATTCCTATAAATACAAAATACTTTATTATGAGGTATTCCCCTAGATTCCTATAAATACAAAATACTTTATTATGAGGTATTCCCCTAGATTCCTATAAATACAAAATACTTTATTATGAGGTATTCCCCTAGATTCCTATAAATACAAAATACTTTATTTATATGAGGTATTCCACTAGATTCCTATAAATACAAAATACTTTATTATGAGGTATTCCCCTAGATTCCTACAAATACAAAATACTTTATTATGATTAGCTTCCAAACATATATTCATTTGTAGGTAATGTCTAATGCATATTTAAACTTTGAAAAAAGTTTTACATTTTGTAATGTCAGGGCTTGTATAGCTTACTATGCGGTATGGTTTTAGCTCAATGTTGAAGAATGTACAGTGACCTACAGTTGCTGAACTCTATGACATTCGGTGTCTGGTAAATAGTTGTCTAATTGGCAATCAAATCACATCTCTTGTTTTGTAATGCCACTATATTTTAACAATTCAGAATACATTTATGGTTAAGGAATGGGGATCTGAACAGTTTTAATATATTTAACTATCGACATTAAAGGGGTCACTAGGAGAACCACTCCTAAGAACAAAACATATGGTGCATTTTGTTGGCTGAAAACTGTATCTGAACAAAACTGTCAATTTTAAGAAAGATATTAATAATATTGTCACATGTTATGCTGAGTGTAATTGAATGAAAATCCTGGGTAATTATCCCACTCAAAATTAATGAACGTCACATGACATGATTTGTATACACTATAAACACATCACAAAGTAGCTATTCTAGAGACCTATGTTTTATATACATTAATATTTTTTCTTATAATAAATAATTTACCTGTGGTGCAGCTTCAAATATTGTAAAATCTCTTTGTAAATGTTCGTCTAATTCTAAAATTGCTGCTACATTACCACATCTATAAAAGAAGGTAGAATTAATCTATCTAATGAATTCATTTGAGATCAATACTTTTTGGTGAGGATATTTTTTCCCAAATTATCAAGTACCGGTAACTTGACTCATCAAAAATTTTTGATAACCTATTGTCAACAGTATGTGCAACTCAAAATAAGGTTAAGTGGAAGGTAAATCTTTCCTGCCTTTTTCTTATCTGGCTCCTGTATTTAAACCTAAAAGGTTATTTGAAGAAGCAGTTTTTCATCTTCTCTAAACAAATCTAGGTACTTTCCTTGTAACAATAACATGATTCAAGGTAATAAACAGATGACATTGGTTTAATATCCCATTTACAAATTATTGACCATTCATAAAAATTTACTGTACACTTTTGAAAAAATATTTCCCACAATTGTATAGATTCTGAAATGGTGAATTCAAATTTGATCTACACTAGCATTCTTAAATGTTTAAACTTATAATATAAGATAAATGGGATTTCACTAAAGCTCAGAAATAAAAGATTTAATTATTATAAATCCATGCCATAGTACATAATACATGTAATACTGTCATTGTGATAACATCTATTGATGCATATGTAAATTGTTATACCTGTAAAACATAGACTTTATTATTTACCTGTAGCAATAATTAGGTGCTGACCATACAGTTAATACTGTTTCATTAAAATGCCATTTGTAACCCTCCATTACTAACTGATGTGCTCTACATATTAAATCTATATGGTTAGCTTCATTAAACTGTGCTGCAACATCTGAACCAAATAAATAACCTGCTCCTCGAGGACTCACTCCCCAACCCTGCATATCTGTGGAAAAAAGAAATAAGAACAGTTATATTTTATTAACTAGCTTTTATTTTTGATCTTTTTTTATGGAATTTTTAAGATAGTTGATTTATTATACACTATTGCTACTTTTATATTAATTGTATTTTAGCTCCAGATAAATGTTTAACTTTACTTCAATCATAGAGGCACATTAATTCTAACTGGACTGATTTTATATATCCAAATTCTTCATTTTTCTCAACCTTTTTGTAAAATAGTACAGTTATGGCTGAAAGTAGCCTGCAATGTTTACCTTCTCGAAAAAAAGATTTCACAAACATTTTAATGATAATATACATGTAAATGTAACTGCTATTCTAATTCCAAGCAAAATACAGTCAAACAATAGAAGAAATAGAATATAACTAAGCAGTTTTTATAATAAGCATGCTGTCAGAAGAAGTTAATTTACCTTCTGGATCTGACCATAATAAATCACACATTGGACCATCATGTGGTACTTCCTGTTTCCTGTCTATTGCACGGATTTGATCCAATGTCTGTATAGAGGGAGATAACCCACCATGTACACAAAATATCTGCAAATATATTAAATGTTATCAGAAGTCTTTTTTGATAGTTGAAAGCATTCTAAAGCCATTTTTCTTTCAATCTATCCTACACTAAATGAATAATGTGTACTTTCCAGTATATAATTATGACTATCTCAAATATAAGATTGATAAAAATGAACTAAATTAAATGCTAAATATTTATCAATTCACAATTTTTTCAAATTTCGAAATAGAGCTTGATTTCTGGATTTTTTTTGATGTATAAAATAGACCTACCTTTCCATCTATAATTGCTGAAAGACTTAAGTAATCAAATATTTCTGTACAATATCTCCATACTGTTATTGACCCGTATTTCCGCAAACATTCATCATAAAAACCATAAACTTGTGTGATTTGTCTACTTTCATGATTGCCACGAATTAATGTTATTCTATCTGGATATCTAACCTAAAAAATATTTTAATTCACAATGATGATTCATGCATTTATCTGTAATTATTCTTCTATTGATCATGGGTTTAAAGAGCAATAAATATAATTCAATACTTGGATATTAAACTGAGTTACTATTTGTGAATGTCAACTCTCCTGGTTTAGAAACTAAAGGTTCACCACTTGTAATTTTAGACATTAATTAAATCAAAGTGCTTGTGAGATTTTCAAGTCATGCAATCTTTACCCCAAAATATGTAAAATTTAAAAAGATTTATTAATATACCTGATAATGTTACATTTTAGGCACTGCAATATTTAGCCAAACAATAAACGCCTATTGGTTCATACATTTGCACTGTTAATATGATACTGTAATATCTTAGATCATGCAATCTGAAGTCTGATGTTTTAAGGATACATGGTTTGACCATTGAGCATTAAAATGATCTGAGTAACATCAGACCTGCCCTACTTTTACCTGGTTTTCTATTTGTATAACATGAAAAAGGTATTGTTCTTTATGTGTATCATATTCAGTCGTCACACTTGGCCACAAGCCAAGCAGCCCATGCTTGTTAAATTGCCTATAGGCCTGAAAAAATCATCTCTACAGGCCAACAGAATCTAACCAAAATTTTCCAAAAATTAAGCTCCAGGCCTGTAGGTTTAAAAGTTTATCGTATAAAGACTGCATATTGAAAAGAACTTAGAATTGTAGCTGTACTTATAGTGTGTCAGATTTATGTTTGATGTCTTGTTGATTATATTTGCTGTTAAAGATTTTATTAGTACTTATCTAGAAGCTGATACTTACTTTTAATGCTAATAATAATAAAAATGTTTCTACACTGTAAAATCCTCTATCTACAAAATCTCCAATAAATAGATAATTTGTGTCCGGAACATCTCCACCAACTTTAAATAATTCTTTTAAATCATAAAACTGTCCATGTATATCACCACACACCTAAAAAAAATATCAACAATTTAATCATTCAGTATTCTCTTGTATAATCCCTTTGTTAAAAAGATATAAAAAAACTTATTTACAATGATTACATAATTTTCTAAATTTATTTAATACTTTTATATTTTCACTACAACATTTTTAAAGAGTAATCCCCCATTGTAGTAAAGTTACGGTACAGTCAGTCTACCAAATTTTATAATTGAAATTCTTCTTCACAAAAAAATAAATAATCATTTATTATACAGCTTTACATGAACATGATGTATGTAACTCAGAATTGCATTGCAAAATTTAGTACCTATGTGCATTTATATTGAAAAGAAACATTAATTATCACAGTAAAATCCTGTCCTTGTTGAACTACATATAGTGACCTGTAACTAGTCACAGCTTTGTCAATGTTTGTCATATGGTCTTTAATGGATAGTTATAGTATTGGAAATCCTTATAGTATATACCACATCCAGTGATCATGTCTTATCAAAATAGTGAAAGAGAAAAAATCTTCATCTTTTGGCTTTTTAACTGTTTCTATTTTGGTAGCTGGATTGCAGAAAGTTGAAACAGGGGTTATAGTATACAATAGTGATGTTGGGCAGTTGGGACAGCAGGAAAAAGTAGTAGCTTTTTTGTAGTCAATACCTCCTACACATCACTGAAACTTCAGTTAAATACTGCACACTTGTTGAAGTTGTGCACCTACTTTATCGCGTTGTTTGAGGATTTTTTTAATAATATTGAGGAGATGACTTACCGTTACAGGAGAATCTACACGCTGTACATTACTTTCTTCTACTAAAATTTCTCTGGCTTTGGCACATAATGCTTTCACTTCACTCTCTTTAATTATTTCACATCTTCTGAGTTGCTCTATTTGTCTAAGGAAAAATAACAATAAAAATAATAACAATAATAATATATGTTAAAAAGGATATATTATTCATTCAGTGACAAATATTTCTTGCAATTTCAGGACAAATGGATATAAGTATGCATTGCATGGTATGTAACTTTGTAAGGCAATAAATGCATCTTCCTTTGTCCATAATTGTAGTTGAACAAACCACGATTATGGACAAAGGATGATAACTCCAATTTTAAATATTACTTTAACAATGACATTGATATTTTTTATAACAGATTCTCACACTATCCAACTTATGTAATTTTCTTGACTAGTATGGTCTATATACATATACACAAAGATTGACATAAAATGTAAATATATATTTTAGTGATAAACTTCTTGAAATGTTCATGGATAGGATGTATATATATATAGGATGATGTGCATGATGCACTATGTTTTTTTTATCTCAAAAGTAGTGATAAAGTCTGGTAAATGATACATTAAGCCAGCCCCATAAGGGTTTGATTGCATGAATGAAATCTTCTTCCCAAAAATGTGAGTAAATCACAGCCGTCTTAAATGCTCATATAAAAGTGCTAAAAACACAAAGTTTAAAAAAAAAATGGACATTAATTATTTACAAGAACAGATTCAGATAAAATGCTTCGCTGGGCGCAGCTTGATACGACCGCAGAGGTCGAACCCTGAACAGTTGGGGCAAGTATGGACACAACATTCAAGCTTGATACAGCTCTGAATTTGGATTGTGATTAAATATTTGACACAGCATAGGTTTCTGACACAGAAAGAATGTGGTCTAAGAACTTCAATTTTTTTAATTTACCTATTATGGTCCAATGTCCAAAATCAAAATACATGGTTAGATTCAGCATATCAAAGAACCCCATATATTCAATTTTTGTTGAAATCAAACAAAGTTTAATTTTGGACCCCAACTTGGACAAACTTGAAAACTGGTCCCATAATCAAAAATCTAAACACATGTTTAGATTCAGCATATCAAAGTACCCTAAGAATTCAATTTTTGTTAAAATCAAACTAAGTTTAATTTTGGACCCTTTGGACCTTAATGTAGACAAATTTAAAAAACGGGACCCTAAATTAAAAATCTAAAAACACAGTTAGATTTGGCACATCAAAGAACCCCAATAATTCAATTTTTGATGAAATCAAACAAAGTTTAATTTTGGACCCTTTTGACCTCAATATGAACCAATTTGATAGTGGGCCCACAAATAAAAAATCTAAATACATGGTAAGATTCAGCATATCAAAGAACCCCATATATTCAATTTTTGTTGAAATCAAACAAAGTTTAATTTTGGACCCCAATTTGGACCATCTTGAAAACTGGGCCAAAAATCTAAAATCTAAATACATGTTTAGATTCAGCATATCAAAGAACCCCATATATTCAATTTTTGTTGAAATCAAACAAAGTTTAATTTTGGACCCCAACTTGGACCAACTTGAAAACTGGTCCCATAATCAAAAATCTAAACACATGTTCAGGGTTCGACATTAACTTTTATACCAACTTGTCCAGTTGGGCAAGTGCCCTATTACTTTTACTTGTCCGAAAGTGAAATCTACATGCCCAAACTTTTACATGCTATTTTTGTGGTTGTAATGTAGTTCATGCAGATAAAATATAGTTATCATGTATATGGGGTGTAAATTGATTATGGAGTATGAAAATATACTATGAGGCATATATGAGCCGAGGAGGGAGGGAAAAGATCGATGAATATACGGGAATTGGATCATTTACATAGAGATACTTATTTCATAATAATTTATCTAAGAAATGCCATTTCAAAAAACCCTTCTTGATAAACTGACAACAACTGACAAATTTGTTAAAGTTTAATTTCATTTTCTCTTTCAAGCTTTTACGTTTTTCCATCTTAGGGAAATACACATCCGATGTCAAATTATAAAGTTAGAACAACGAAAATAGACCTCCGCTTTCCATTGGTCGGTGGGAATAACACGTGCGTCGGAAACGCCCGAGTGGTGTCCCGATGGATAACGATAATGACGAAGCAACGCCGCGGCTGCCTGATTGGCCAATATTTTTAAACGTGATCTATTTTTGGTAAAATGGGGAATTCAGTGCGAACAATTGACGAAATATACGCATTGAAGGGGGGTTAAGACCACTTTACTCGACCGTGCGGTGTTATCACTGAGTAATCTATGGACAAAACAACAGACACTATTGATTTTGTGAAATTTTAATCATATAACACTTTTTTTTTCACTTGCCCGATCGGACAACCAAGATGATGTTTTTACTTGTCCGAATACGGCATTAGCTTGCCACGGGCAATCGGACAACCGTAAGTGTCGGACCCTGATGTTAAGTTTCAGCATATCAAAGAACCCCAAAAATTCAATTTTTGTTAAAATCAAACTAAATTTAATTTTAGACCCTTTGGACCTTAATGTAACCCAATTTAAAAAACAGGACCCAAAATTAAAAATCTAAATACACGGTTAGATTTGGCATATCAAAGAACCCCAATAATTCAATTTTTGATGAAATCAAACAAAGTTTAATTTTGGACCCTTTTGACCTCAATATGAACCAATTTGATAGCGAGCCCACAAATAAAAAATCTAAATACATGGTAAGATTCAGCATATCAAAGAACCCCATATATTCAATTTTTGTTGAAATCAAACAAAGTTTAATTTTGGACCCCAATTTGGACCAACTTGAAAACTGGGCCAAAAATCTAAAATCTAAATACATGTTTAGATTCAGCATATCAAAGAACCCCATATATTCAATTTTTGTTGAAATCAAACAAAGTTTAATTTTGGACCCCAACTTGGACCAACTTGAAAACTGGGCCCATAATCAAAAATCTAAACACATGTTTAGATTCAGCATATCAAAGTACCCTAAGAATTCAATTTTTGTTAAAATCAAACTAAGTTTAATTTTGGACCCTTTGGACCTTAATGTAGACAAATTTAAAAAACGGGACCCAAAATTAAAAATCTAAATACACGGTTAGATTCGGCATATCAAAGAACCCCAATAATTCAATTTTTGATGAAATCAAACAAAGTTTAATTTTGGACCCTTTGGACCTCAATGTGGACCAATTTAAAAACGGGGCCCAAAATCCAAAAACTTAATACACGGTTAGATTCAGAATATTAAAGAACCCCAAGAATTCAAGAATAAAACCCCATTGAAATTGATCAAGAAATAAGCAATTTATACGAAGTATCTTCTTTTGCACAATACTGTGCAATTGAATATTTCTTGCTATTGCGCAATACTGTACAATTGACAATTTCTTGCTATTGCGCAATATTGTGCTATTGGATATTTCTTGCTATTGCGCAATACTGTTAAATTGTATTGTGCTATTGGATATTTCTTGCTATTGCGCAATACTGTTAAATTGAAGATTTCTTGTTATTGCGCAATACTGTGCAATTGAAGATTTCTTGCTATTGTGCAATACTGTGCAATTGAAAATTTCTTGCTATTGCACAATACTTATTATATAATAATTTACACATCCTGTTTGGTGTGTATCTCCTACCATATCATTATTATTTGCTTTTAAATATAAATCAGAAATAACCAACTTAAAATGGAAAATTTTAAAAGAAAAAAAAAAGGAAAAAAAGAAAAAAAAAAAAAAAAAAAAATCCCCCCCCCCAATTTTTTGAACCCCCTTATGATTCATCACCCCCAATCTCAATCCCAGCCTTCCCTTTGTGGTATGGTACCTTGCAGTACAATTTCAGAGAGATCCATACACTTGAACACAAGTTATTGTCTGGAAACTAGAAAAATGCTTATTTTTGGCCCCTTTTTGGCCCCCAATTCCTAAACGTTTCGGGCAATTACCCCCAAACTCAATTCCAGCTTTCCCTTTGTGATATGGAACCTTGTAGTACAATTTCAGAAATATCCAAACACTTACACACAAGTTATTGTCATGAAACTAGAAAAATGCTTGTTTTTTGCCCCTTTTTTGGCCCCTAATTCCTAAAATTTTGAGGCAATTACCCCCAAAATCAATTACAGCCTTCCCTTTGTGATATGGAACCTTGTGGTACAATGTCAGAGAGATCCATACACTTACACACAAGTTATTGTCTGAAAGTTACAAAAATGCTTATTTTTGGCCCCTTTTTGGCCCCTAATTCCTTAACTGTTGGTACCATAACCCCCAAAATCAATCCCAACCTTTCTTTTGTGGTATTGAACCTTATGGTGAAATTTCATGGAGATCCATTCACTTAAACTAAAGTTACAGTGCGAAAACCAATGTGTCTTTGGACGACGCCGGATGACGACGACGACGACGCCAACGTCATACCATTTTTAATTTTTGCGGTCGTATAACAATATATACCAGTTAAAAGAAAATATGTACCTGTCTAAATCACTGATTTCACTCATGCTTCTTTATTTATCTGAAATAAAGAAAACAAAGTGAAAACTATTGAGAAATTCATCATCTGCAGGGGTCACCACACTTCAAACTAATAGAGAAAAGTGATTTATCAAACCTGGAATTTGCATTTTTTTTTCAAGAAATCTAATAGCATCACATCTATGTAATAAAAATCTATAAGAAAATTATTTCAGTTAGCATCAAATTAGTCATGACTATGATCATGATGATACTAGACGGCCGTAGAAAGAGCACTGAAATATTGTTTTTAACATAGTAGATGTCCCGTTGTGTTTGCCAATCACTTATCCGACAGATGTAAGTTTTGGTTAAATATCTTTCTGGTAGTTTCAAAGATTTAGTTTAGCATTAGGGTAATTTGTGGACACATCAACATGAAACTTGGAACACGTTCAGTCATGTCAGTATGAAGTGAATTATTTAATTCATATGACAAATTAAAGTTTTGATCCAAATTTCACTGAACAAGGAAATGTGATAGGTTTAAGTTTTGGTTTAAAGTGCATGTTTGTAGTGGTTTTATCAACTTTAAGCTTAGAACACATGTTCATTATATGAAGTGAACTGTTTTATCCATATATGCCAAAAAAAGGTCTTGGCCCAGATTTCACAATTCACTGAACAATGAAATGTGATAGATTTAAGTTTTGTTTTTAGGTGATTAAAGCTGTTGCAATATCCAGAGCCAGTTTGTTGATGTTATGTAATATGAACAACCATCACTTCTTACAGTCTTTTGAAACTGGCTGTTATATATATGTCGCCAGTAGGTTTGATTTCCAGTACGATTGGGGCTTCTTGCTGATTTTTTAAGTTTTTATTGTTGTCTATGGCAACCAGGTCATTTGTTATTTTGTAACACATGATTAGTCATGTTCTTTAACTCCTTTTTTGTAAACTTTTCCTCCCTTGTTCATTTATTATATTGCAGGCACTATTTCTATGTCTGCTGGTTACATATCATGCAGCTTGTCCTTGTACTTTTCTGATTTCATCTTTATTGTCTTACTGATGCTGGTCCCATACTATCCTGGCATATATAGTCTATTCCATTTGTGGTCTAAAACCTATCTTATAAGTATTCTTGTTGATGGATTTGGATTTTCACTGTAAACATTGGTTTCTCTGCACCACACATCAGTTTGATAATACGCCATATAGTGGACTGAACTGTATTTGGAAGAATGATGGATGGTTGTTTAATTTCCAGTGGCAAAAATTAAATTAAACGCATATTCAGGACGAAAACATGTTAGTGTCAGAGATCTGAATATGAACCCTGCTTTGTACTAGACCAAAACACTGAGGTCACAATTAAAAAAATTTTTGTTTCCCCTCCCCCACTACCCTTAGTATTGGAGCGGACCAGGCAGGCATGGAATACATTTTTTTTTAGGATTCCACTTCAAATTGTTCTAGAATTGAAACAGATTGGAACGGCTATCTTAATATCATTAATTCATTCTAAAAACTATAGACTGGATGAATACAATTGTTGTACTCAGTTTATTTCACAATTCTGACAATCACAATAAAAATATATTTTTTGGGTGTGTCATTAATGGCCTTTCCTAATATTTAATACTGGTATCTATTTAGTAATACATGTATGCATTGCAGATATGTTGAAAGCCTAAAACATATTTTTATGGTCATAGAACACTGAATTTCTAAGGTCTTTGATTGCTCTTCACCTCAGTGTCAGATATACACTATGCCAGGTCACCATGGTCACTGTATTAAAAAAGAATTGATATATGAAACACAATATTTATTAAACAAGTGACTAGAATCAAACAGAATCCGACAACTCGGAGAAGAACATCGTCTGTTGATGTCAATCTGACATCTCTGCTGGTTATGTCCTCAAGCTTGTCCTTCCAAGTATCCCTTTTGGGAAAAGAATATAATTTGTTGGACAATATTTTTTTTATTTTACCGGTTCCTGAATATTCTTACTATAACAGATGACAACAAGTTAATATTGACCTCCATCTTGAAATAAATTAAGGAACACAACCGAGGAATTTCGAGAAATAATTTTCATAAAGACTGATGTCGGACGGACAACTCCGATTTTATTCCTGAAAATTAAAAAAAAAATTTTTTTATAAACGCTCATAAATTTGTTTGACTGGGCGGCTTTTCCTAGACACATCAGGGGCAAGTGGAAACAAACTTGATTTTAATTTTGGCCCGAGTTGGGATTTTTAACATGCTAGTTCACAGGGTAACAGTTCGCAGGAAGACATGTACTCATTATTCTGACTCTGAACTAACAAGTCTTTACACTTACTCCTTAATGACCTGTGCTTATCCGAGATGCTAGCAAATAGAAATACCACCTTTAAGTCTTCTTTTAGACCCTACCGCAGTACCAGGGTTCAAGTCTATAACCTTACGCACTCACGGCAAACATGGTACATATTGACCACTGAGGTGAATTTGATAAATTTGGAGCTGATGTGGAGGTTTCGCTGGCAACACTGTTTAGTTGTTAAATTATTGTTACTATGTTAGAGATGGTGCTTGGCTGTGAAGCTTGAAATTCGTTTTTATTGGAATTTTCTATTTTGAAACTGTGACAACGCTGCATTTTTCAGGATGAAATCCTCCAAAGTTCTTCCCATTTTTCCAGTTTGTCAGGTTTTCTAAACTTGGAAGTTGGATTTTTTTACGTTCATGAATGTCGTTCACTATTTTCATTTTGTCCTGACAATATTTTCAAGAATTCACCGAATATAAGGAGGACATAAATTAAATTATAATTTGTTTACTAGCCTCGTTAATGTAGAATAATGGGCAGTGGGGACAAAATTAAACCCTAAAAATGTGTACCTGAGGTTTGGTTCTTCAACAAAACCTTGTCTCTTCCGGTCACTTCTTGCGTCACTGACGAGATAATGAATGTGCGAGACTCTTTTAATTTTTATTAAATTAATAGTTTTTAATTTTTGTTTTACATTATTTTAAAGATTTTAAGTTTTTTTCTGTTTTTCAAATACAATTTCTTATTTTTATTTTTTCCCCATAAAATATAATGGTGCTACTAATCACCATCTTTTACTAATCGCAAATATAATACAAGAACGAACTAATATTATTTATACATGCCATCAACAGACATTTAAAGGGGCATTATACACTAGTCAACAAAAGTAACGATACACAAGTTTGAACTTCAATTTATCATAAAATATAATAAATAGGAAAAAATGTTAAATTATTCTATGAAAAACATTCATTTGCAAAGCAAATAAAATTGAGAATGGAAATGGGGAATGTACATGTGTCAAAGAGACAACAACCCGACCATAGAGCATACAACAGCCGAAGGCCACCAATGGGTCTTCAATGCAGCGAGAAACTCCCGCACCCGGAGGCGTCCTTCAGCTGGCCCCTAACCAAATATGTATACTAGTTCAGTGATAAATTAATGGACGTCATACTAAACTCCAAATTATACACAAGAAACTAAAATTAAAAATGATACAAGACTAACAAAGGCCAGAGGCTCCTGACTTGGGACAGGCACAAAAATGCGGCGGGGTTAAACATGTTTTTTGAGATCTCAACCCTCCCCCTATACCTCTAGCCAATGTAGAAAAAAAACAAACGTACAACAGTACGCACAGTAAAACTCAGTCTAAGAGAAGTCCGAGTCAATGTCAGAATAGGAAACAAAAGAAAATAAACAAAATGACAATAATACATAAATAACAACAGACTACAGTTACTGACATGCCAGCTCCAGACCTCAATTAAACTGATTGAAAGATTATGTCTTCAAATGCATATGATTAAAAGAATCTGACCAAATTAGAAAGTGAGAAAGAAAAATCGTGTTATTGAACACAGGGGTCAAATTTATTTTGCGGAAAATGATGACAAAAGTCGGCACTTAATTTCGAAGATGAGAATTAAGTATTCAAATATCTGCAAAGGCATTCAAAATTTTAAGCAGGCCATGTTTAAGTTTAAAGTATTAATTAAGTTCTAATGTCGATTTTTTTAATATTTGGGTGACAATACGATTTTAACATACTAGTACTAACAAAAATTGCAACAACAAAAAAATCTCGTATTTGCCTTAAATCCAGGGTTTTGATAAGAAAATAACACTCTGCAAATATTAGACCAATTGGGCAATTATTTACCTTGGTACAGTGTATCCAATTTCATTATATATGGGAAAAAAATACATTTGCCTTGTATCGTTTCTTTTGTTGACTAGTATATATAGCTGTCAAATTCATGTTCACTGATTTGACTCAAATTCTCATATTTTATTTATAACATACTAATTATAAAAAGTCTAAAATAAACAATTAAAGATGCATGGACTCGATAATATGTATCAGAAATTCGTATGTATAGACGTCATCTAATTAACCACCGATGTGACCTCCCGGAAGACTGCTGACGGTCATACAACCCGATATAAACACAAATATAGATATAAACTGATATAAATAGATAGCGAACACGTGCAATTGGATTTTTCTAGGTCTGTTTGATTTCATACTATAGGTTAAAAAATATATTATTAAATTAATTAAATTAATAATTAAGAATTATATATCTATAATTAATCACAGTTTTTACCTTATAGATATAAGAATGAGTTTTTGTTGATCGAATCAGTCAACCAAATGGTTTTCCCTTGTTTCACTTTTAATGTTGACATTCTTTTCCTTTTGATAGCTGAACACGCCTAGTCTATGCGTAACCCATCTCTAGCTAAAGGTTTCAATTACAGGTCACATGAAAATGGATTGAATGAGGTCGAATTATTCAGTGAATAATTCACCAGCGATGTTTCTTGGCTTATTTTGACAAAATTGAACCAAACTGGCTACTAAGAGCGAATTATCATTTCACTATTTCACTTTCATTAATGATTGAACAAAAAAAAAATCATATTTTTTTTATATATCTCGTAGCTAATGCCCCCTTAAGTACAACATCGTATATACAAATGTCCAGTTTTAAACTGCCTGGAATACAAAGCAGTGCAATTAATTGAAAACGACAACATATGAAATGTCACTTATATGATGAGATATATCGAGATTTTCGCGTATATGTCGTCAATATTAAAAAAATCGACAGTGTAAAGAGCCATTTTGACAAGAGAAGGCAATTTGATAATTTGTATTTTTAACATACAAGTTCATTAGTTTTGAAACTCTGAATATGTTTTTAAATCCATAAATTGTTTTTTTTTTTTTTTTTGCTTAAATTCTAGTACCAAACATTTTATAAATATTCAGTTTAATAACCCATAATCTGCCGCTTTTGAACATACAAAAATGTGCTTCGGCAAACGCTTTAACACTCTACATGCTCTATAAAACTATAAAAAAAGAAGCATTCTGTTCTCAATTAACATGTTTGATTTGATTTGACTTAATGTTCAAAACAAACTTCAGTGAAAGTACAACATGTACAAAGACGAATACCTTTACCATGCCAAGAAATCCTCGCTAACAATTCCGGTCGACCTCCTAGTCGGCACTCATTAGTAGCTAAAGATTTGATTTCATTCAACAAATTAATTTATTACCTTCATGTACGTATCGCTTAGAACACGGCCATATACGAAATGGTCAATATTAATCATCCATGTAATTTGCTCTATGGGGTGTTTGCAGAATTTCAACGGAGGCAATTTCTTGGCATGATTTTAGATTAGGCTACAATTTTAGACGTTCATTTTAACATTCAAAACACGAATTTTTATAGTGGGATCACATAGACATATAACAAAAATCCATCTATACGTATCCAGGAACATATATATTGACGGGACTTGACACTACCTGATTGTAGTCGATTTTATCGTCGTGCCATAGTTAATAAAGATACGATACAGAAACGGACATGTGTTAAAAACGGACTCGCTATTATCCTAATAATTTCTGATATTATCAATAAAATGTCATTCAAACTAGTTTTATAGTGATGCTAGTGTATCAAACTTGTATTCTGTCACTTCAAATTTGTTAAAATCGCAAGCATTTCATCACAGAATTGTGCAGAATGCAAACAAGGTAATAAAAAAATGGCGGCCATTGCCGCGATGATTTTCAAATTCCCAAATTATTATAAAACACTTCACATCAAATAAATCAAACTTATTTTGGTAATTTTATATGACAAAATATATCTTAGATATACTGTTCCCAGACGTATCCAAAGTGCTGATCTTTCGTGTGAGTGAACTGTCAAATTACTTGGCATTGACATAGATTATCAGCTAAATTTTGATATTCATATTGGTAAAATATGCAGGAAGGCATCTCAGCAACTAAATATTTTGAAACGTTTAGGAGCTTATCTGAACAAACTAAGTAAGCTACATTGGCTAGAGGTATAGGGGGAGGGTTGAGATCTCAAAAAACATGTTTAACCCCGCCGCATTTTTGCGCCTGTCCCAAGTCAGGAGCCTCTGGCCTTTGTTAGTCTTGTATCATTTTTAATTTTAGTTTCTTGTGTATAATTTGGAGTTTAGTATGACGTCCATTATCACTGAACTAGTATACATATTTGTTTAGGGGCCAGCTGAAGGACGCCTCCGGGTGCGGGAGTTTCTCGCTGCATTGAAGACCCATTGGTGGCCTTCGGCTGTTGTCTGCTCTATGGTCGGGTTGTTGTCTCTTTGACACATTCCCCATTTCCATTTTCAATTTTATTACTATTTTCCATACATTTATTTTGTCAAATTTCAATTTCTGCCCTTTGGCATGGCATTTTTGTACAGAAAAAAATTCAAAAAAATTAGAAAAAGTTCAAGAAAGAGCATTAAGGTTTGTGTACGAAGCTCATTCAAGTTTATATCAACAGTTGCTTGAAAAGGCTAAGATGCATTCACTGCATATTAAAAGACAAATATTAATGGCAATTGAAACTTTTGATATAGTCAATAAATTAGCACCTATCTGTTTACATGATTTATTAAATGTAAAAGATTGTAAATATTCTTTCAGATATAGTAATATACTGGATAAACCACATGTAAAAACTACACAGTTTGGTAAGAAAAGTTTTAAATTTGCAGCTGCTACTCTGTGGAACAGCCTACCTGACCATTTCAGGACTGAAAACAGTTTTTCTCAATTTAAGAGCCTTATACAGTCTTGGAATGGTTCAAAATGTTGTAGTTCTGCTTGTAGATAAGCTTTTTCATATTTTAGAAGTTGCTCTAAAATGTTATTATGCCTTAAATTTTTGCATGTATGCTATATTTTATTCGTGCTTAATTTTAGTTGTGCTTAAATTTTATTTGTGCTTCAGCTTTGGCTTTAGATATGTATTTAGTAGTGCTTTTCATGTATTTCAATATGCCTGTACTGTTATATATATATATCCTGTCTGCATGTTGTGTGTTTTAATGTTGTGTTTGTGTTACCTTATTTTTCGGTAAAAAGCTCTTAAGAGCTTATGTTTTGTATTGTTATATGTGAACCGAATCAAAATAAAACTTTCGTATTCGTATTCGTATTAAAATTCATGCACGTAAAATATTACATATCTGCATATGACATGTATGAGGGTCTGCCGGATGAGGGTCCTCCATTTCTGTATTTTTTTTACATTTTGAGGCATTTTTATTTATCTTTAAAAATAACGCTTATTCTTTAAAATTCTCATGTAAATCATTTTATCATTAGATTTATTTGTTATTACATGATTTCGATCTTTATTCTGTACATGGTTCATTTCCGAGTGTAATCAGTCTGTTATTACCTAATTCTTTAATTTTTCACAGTTAATCTATATTCTTTTGCACCCGATTATTCTCTATTTTGTATTTGTTTAGCTCATATTTCTCTATTCACTATTTTTTTCTCCATTATTGTCTATTTTGTAAATCCCATCCA